AAGGGGATCCCTTGAACCCAAGAGTTTGAGGTTGCTGTAAGCTATAACATCATGGCACCCTACTGAGGGCAATAAAATGAGACCGTCTCAAAAAAATAAATAAAAGTAAATTTTAAAAAAAGTTATTCTATAGCTGGGTTCTGTGGTGGATGCCTGTACTTGCAGCTACTCGAGAGGCGGGTTTGAACCCAGCCAGGCCTCCCAAACAACGACCACAGAACAAGAGAATTGCCTACTCCCAAGAGCTGGAGGTTGCTATGACACAATGGCACTCTACTAAGGGTGACAAAGTAAAAATCTATCTCTTAAAAAAAAAAAAAAAAAGTCACTATGTAAGTTTATTTTTTAGTTTTTCAATTTCTCATTTATTTTCTGATAAATATTAAAAGATATAAATCAAATTTAAAAACCTCTTGGCCAGCCTAAGAGCAAGACCCCATCTCTACTAAAAGTAGAAAAGACAACCCACGCATTGTGGGGGGTGCCCATAGGCCCAGCCTACTTGAGAGCCTGAGCCAAGAGGATTGCTTCAACCCAGGAGTTTGAGGTTGCTATGAGCTATGACTCCATGGCATTCTACCCTGGGCTACAGAGTGAGACTCTGTCTCTAAATAAATAGTTCTTTTCGTAGGGCCTCAAAAATTTAGTCTCCAGACCAAAGGTGAGTATCACTGTTATACCTGGTATACTTTTGTGTAAAAAAAAAAAAAAAAAAAGACTCTTTTTACTAGTTTATCAGTATATAGTAGCTAATCCTGCATTAAGAAAATCATGACGGATAAACAGACCACTATCAGTAGAACCGAAGAGATAAAAGGCCTTTTACTGAATGTATCTCTTTTTGTTGCTTAATTTTTGAGCTACATATAACCTACTTAACAAAGGTAATAGCAAGCCAACCCCAGGAGCAGCCACAGGCAGCAGGAAGATCAGCCTTCAGAAGACAGCAGAGTCAGGATAGAAAACCTGTGTGTGGACTGTACTCCTACCCACATCCAGACACAATGGTGGTCTCCAGGCAAAATATTAGAAGATTCTTCTCAGAAGAAACCAAACCAAGAGACCTAGCCAGGCATGGTAGCTCACCCCTATAATCCTAACACTCTGCCAAGATTCAATCCATCTGCCAGGTGGATTGAATGAGCTTACGGCTTCAAGACCAGCCTGAGCCAGAGCAAGACTTTGAGTCAAAAAAATAGTCAGGGTTCAGCACCCATAGCTCATTGGTTAGGGCACTGGCCACATCCACCAGAGTTGGCAGGTTTGAACCCAGCCAGGGCCTGCTAAACAACGACCACAGCAACAAAAAAATCAGACGGCTGTTGTGGCGGGCCCTGAGCTACCTGGGAGGCTGAGGCAAGAGAACTGTTTAAGCCCAAGAGTTTGAGGTTGCTGTGAGCTTTGACACCACAGCACTCTACCAAGGGCAACATAATGAGACTCTGTCTTTAAAAAAAGCAAAATTATTCAGGCATTGTGGTGGGTGTCTGTAGTCCCAGCTACTTGGGAGCCTGAGACAAGAGAATCACTTGAGGCCAAGAGTTTGAAGTTGCTGTGAGCTATGACACCAGGGCACTCTACCAAGGGCAACAGAGTAAGACTGTCTTAAAAAAAAAGAAAGAGGCTCAAGCGGCTAAGGCGCCAGCCACGTACACCT